AATGGCGACAGGCGAGCATCGGCACCACGGGGAAGACCCGGGACTGAAACCAGGGTTGCAGCCGCAGCGTGGCAGGAGCACGGAGGTCTGAGCTGAGTCACAGACGGCCGTGGGCCCCGTAAAGGGGAAGAGAAACAGAGACTTGGGCGGAAAAGCGGGGAACCAGGACGGTGGGGGACGACACCACCGACCGACGGGGAGAGCGAGGGCCAAACCGAGGGTGGGGGACACCCCGACCCGGCGGGCCGCCTGGTAGCGCGGGGAAGGGACGCGCCAGGGGTGAAAACAACGAAAGCAGGTCAGAGGCCGATAGGGGACAGGTGGACCGCAGCCCCAGCGGTAGCCCACGAGTCAGTATTGTCAGCAGGCCACTGCCCGAGTTCCCAAGGGCGGGGGGCAGTGGGGGCTGGGCAGGGAGAGGCACCAGGGAAGGAGCACTGCCTGCAAGTCAAGCGACTGCCACAGCAGGGACTGCAGCAGCCGCGTCTAGGGTGAAACAAAGGGGTGGAATAGGTGGACCACGGCCCCGGCGGTGACCCACGAGCCAGTATTGTCAGCAGTCCGCTGTCCCTGTCCCGAGGGCCGGGCGCAACGGGGGCTGGGCAGGGAGTGGCACCAGGGAAGGGGCACTGCCTGCAAGTCGGACGTCGGCCACAGCGAGTGCTGTGGGAGTCGCGCCTAGGGTGATACAAAGCGGGGGGCCGCCGTCGGAGGTCCCCGCCCAAACCCCCGAACATACGCGATGTCGGAGGTCCAAACCAGGGGTGGCAAGCGACCACTGCATGCTGTATGGACGAGGCAGCGAAACCTTTGGCCTAACGGGCCCCACTTTAGGTGATAGCGATGATATCGAACCGCGTTCCTTCTTGGCCTAAGGGGCCCATTTTAACTGAATAACCAAAGGCACAGCCACGGCGAGCCCGGCAGGCCTGAGGCCTGCACCACGTGGAGAGGATAGCTGCGGTCGGCTGCCCTCTGGGGCGTCAGGTCGGCGTCTGGTCAGGTGCGTCGGGGCAGGTTCGGCTGGGTAGCCGGCGGCGGAGCCAACACAATGCCAGCAAAACGCCCAGTTTGTGGGGATACGCGAAGCATTTAGATTTCGTGCGAAATTCCGTAGCGAAAGAACGAGCTCTTATTTATTTTGTCAGGAAACATAGTATGTTCTTATGGCTTGCGCCTGTGCGCACAAGAAGTCTGACAGATATGTGAAATCAGCGAATTTACTAGACTTTCGCATGTTTCTCGGATTATTTCGGCATGAGCGCGCGGGTGGATGGAACCCGCGCTGACGTATTCGATGTGGGCCGTTACAACACGCTGTTGCCAATCAGTGGCTTTGTGCCGCATTATGTTATTTGCAAAAAAGGAAATGCCCAAGCTTGGTGCGGTTACGTAACCGCATGGAATGATTCGCAAAAAGAAAGCGCCGCGCAAAATCATGTTCAAAGGAAAGTGCGCCGGTGTGGATGCGGCCCCGTCCAGCTTCAAGGCGAGAGTAAGTCTTTGAGGAGATTCTGTTGGATGGGGCAAGAGGTACTGCGTATGATAGAGCTGGCAAATCCCATGGCTTCGTAATGTAGTCCGATCGTTCCGTGGGCCAAACCGATCCTATGGGTCCCTAGGCTGATCCGATGGCTTGCTTCGTAGAGTGCTGTAAGATGACCGTATGGCTCCGTAGGCTGATATCATGGCCATGTAAAGTAAAGCATATGAGACGAGTCTTAAACAGTGGATCTCAAGGTGTAAGCTCTTTCAGTCTCGATATGTGCCAGCTATGTTGTGCAATCTGTGTATGGAACCATCTAAACGCTGTCATTCATTTGACTGCATTCGCGCGTGACCACTTCCAATGCTCGTGCACACATCCCACCTTCCCACCCACAAATTGTCGGCAAACCTCAGGAGGGCGGCGAAAGTGACGATTACGATAATGGCGGTGGGGATGGTTTCGACGACGATAATGATGAAGCTGACGGTGATAAAATGACTGTGGCAATGATGGCTCTGGCGATGATGATGACGATGACGCCAGAGAGGATGATGCGGAAGTGCGCGCGCGGAGAAATTTGACGAGGGCGACGACATCGACGATGAGGGTGACGACGGCGGTAATGTTTTTCCCTAACTATGATACCCTCCAGGGAGAGATGGCTCCAATCAGTACGAGGTGGTGGCCACCTGCAAAGTAAAGCGCCACCAGTTCACAAAAGACGTAAGACAGTGCTGCCATCTTGGAAAGCTACACGCCCAGTGCGAAGCAACCTGTTGGCCACCAGCGTGAGCTCATGAAGCGCGGAGGGCTAAGCCGTCGTCACTATGCCGCCTGGGCGCGGAATGGTAGCACGAGCCAGAACCTCCCAAGAACCGCTGCCCAGAATCTGCCAACCAGCTCCACTGGCATCATGCTTGCGGTCCCCGTCCCATTCACGACGACGACGGCAATGATGACGCTGGCGATGATGACAACGATTGTGCTTATGAGGATGATGGGGAAGTGCGCGCTCGCAGATATTCAGCCTGCCTGGCATATTTAATGGAAAAGCGTTTCCACCAACAATGCTTGCACTTGGGGTTCTTGCTCTGAGGAATTGGATGGGTGTGTCAGGGTGTCGGCTGGTGCCTGGCTGGTGCCGCCTGGTTTCCGCCTTGTGCGCAAGGTGGGCATGTCGGGGTTTCGGCCGGTGCCCGATTGGTGCCGCCTCGTTGCCGCATTGTTGCCGCGCGCGCGCAGAGCCGCCGCGACGCGGGATCCCAGCGGCGGCCAAGCGAACAAACAGCCAGCGCTGGCAGCGCCGCGCGGCGCGGCGCGCGGCCCCCCCCCTCGCAGGCCGCTCCTTGAGCCAAAATGGCTACGGATCGTTGCCGCCTCGTTGCCGCCTCGTGCGCTGGGTGGATGTGTCGGGGTCTCCGATGGTGCCTGGTTGGTGCCGCCTCGTTCGGGCCCCATCGCCGCCTCGTGCGCTAGGTTGGTGTGTCGGGATTTCGGCCGGTGCCCTCTTGGTGCCGCCTCGCTGCTGGCTGACTGTGCCTCAGAGACCCCTAAGCTTAGACACGCTGGACCGGGACATCCAACATACCTCGAAACCAATTTTCCCGACGGCGGCACGACAAAAACCTGCACTGCACAAGAGGGCGGCACGGACAAAAACTGCACTGCAACATGCTCGGAACAAACCCGCACTAAAGCAATGAAAGCCTGCAAAACCTCCCCTAGATCTGGACAACGACCCGAACCCTGCTGCAGTGCAGCAACAGAACAAATGCACTGGACGATCAAGTACAGCCACCCAAAAATGCACTGAACGACCAAAACCTGACTTTGCAGGAAAGGGTGTCGATTCCCCAACTTGCCAATGTCCTGGTTAGTCTTTGTCCTGGTCTCGGGGGGGCTGAGTGTCGGGGTGTCGGCTGGTGGCTTGTTGGTGCAGCCTCGTTGCCGCCTCATGCGCTGGGTGGGTGTGTCGAGGTTTCGGCTGGTGCCTGGGTGGTGCCGCCTCGTTGCCGCATATCTCGCCACAAAGCTTGCACCGCATAGCTAACGCATGCACTGTGCAATATCTCACTGTTTGGGGTCCACGCTGGCAAACATTGATTTTCAGATGCTTTTGAAACCTAGGTGTTGACACTCTGAGGAAGCCGCTGATTCTGCAACGATGTCGACGTGTGCAGGCGGAGACGCCCGCGTGTGGCCCGAAGTGTATGATTTGGCGAGTTGGTCTGCGCGCAGTGGTTATGGAACGTGTTCGGCATGTGCGCGCGTGTGGCCCACATGCTCCCATGGTGCAGAATGGCTCATTACCTATTGCTTTCTCATGATTTCAGCAAGGGCGCGCGCGCAGATAAGTTTAATTTTGCTGAAACGCCAGAACAATCTTTGATATCGATTTGACTGGCCATGCCTTGAACTTGTTCGAAAACCATCGGTTGTTTCATGATTTTGTAATGCGCGCGCATGTTCCCTGCATACTCCTTTCGTCAAATCTTCTTTGAGAACACGCTTCTTACATCATCGCGTGTGCACCGGATGATACGGTTTGACAGAGATGGTGTGGGGTGTGGATGCTAAGTTTGGTTGATCGGCTGTTATCTGATAGTTCGGATGAGTAGTAGCGCAGGATAGGTATGGGGAAAAACATCAATTACGCGGAGGGGAACGCTCAATCCAGACCTCGGTGGGTTGGGGGGTGGGTGGGGGGGGGAGGGGTAGAGTCCAATCGCTTCGGGAACAGGAATATGTCTGCGGTGCGCTCTGTGTGTTGCCAGTTGCATGGTGCAGTCGGTACGGTGCAGTCTACCGTACCGTATGTGGTGCATGCAGCCAGCACACGGGGCGCCGATGAGGCGCCCACCCGGGGAACGCAGGTGGCGCCCACGGGCGCTCTCAAAGCGAAAACCGCACGTGGCGCCCGATGGGCGCTCTCAAAACCCCGGCGGGCGTGGCGCCCACGGGCGCTCTCAAGGTGGCGCTCTTCTCGGAGCCGCCGGAAACCGCAACCACCGCACGTGGCGCCCACGGGCGCTCTCAAAGGGACAGCCCCTGAAACCCAACACCACCGCACGGGGCGCCCAAACGCGCCCACCAAGCGAAAACATGGGAAACCCAACTAGCACATGGGGCTCCCACGTGGCGCCCGCCAGGCGAACACCAGGAACAAAAATGGATTCATCTCGACCGCAAGCATGAGAATCCCCTAAAGTAAGCGACGTAGCCCTGTAGAGTAGAGCAGAACTGATAGGCGTCTCCTGTAGCCCCACATGCTGGGCCTTCTGCCCCGTAGTGCAGAGTAGGCTGCACGCGCATGGGTTGAATAGAACATGTTGCACTTGCGCCAGACCCCAAAGCTTCCCTGCCTGCAAGGGCCGCCCTTAAGGCCTGGGAGGCCCAAGCTGGGCCTGCGGAAAATGAAATCCATCAGGACAGCGTCAAGGACCTTGTACTGGCCAGGGTTGCTCGCTCCTGGGCTGCGTGATCCCTCACTCTCAAAAGAAGTCTCGGCTGCCTCGTCGACGACGACGTGGGTGACCCCGTGCAAGTCGGGGGAAACATTCAGCTGCTGCAGCAACACGCCGGTGGTGCAGAAGAGCAGCCGGGTCTCCCTGTCGCCGCGCCAGGGGGCAAGCCACCATGGACCAGAAACCTGTACGGCCCAGCACAGGGGCAACAGCACATCCAATGAGATATCGAACCTTCAGCTGGCGAGGTTCGTGGCCAGCACTGGCAAGTTCCACCACTTGGCCAAGTAATGTCAACGTGTTCCGATTTTGTACGAAGCCATTAGTTGCCCTCGCCCATACATGTAATCCGACCAATCCTCTGGGGGGAACTGGTGTAACGTGTCTTCTCTTGACTCTTCCCAAACCCTCTCTTCCCCTAACCGGGAAGGGGCATATCACTGTTCCTGATTAATCTACGCCCCCTCTCCCGCCTGACCAGGGGTGAACCGAGAACCATGACCCCCCACCATCCCTGTCAAGAACGACTGCAACATGCACGTCGCGGCAACATCAGGATCATGCGCGGGCATCAAACGATCACATTACAGGGACGAGGGGGTTGCCGGCATATTGCCTGCTGCGCGAAGGCTCATCATCCCTGTCGGGGGAAAAAAAAAAACCATACTAAATATACTTTCTGGCAACGGTCATGCGCGGGCGCCTCGCGATCACTTTGCATTGCTCTTGGACAGGGGTGGTGGGGGTGCCCTGGCACGCGCGGCGCATTTCGCGGGCGTCGCGCACCTAGCCAGCGTCTGCATTGGTTCCCGATGATGGTCGGTGGCGGCTCCTGCCCATGCTGAGTGTCGAGTGCTACTTATGTGGCGGGAACATGGGTGGGAGTGAGGGAGACGGCCGTCCTTCGGGTGGCGTAGCTTACCCCATCCCCGTGGGTCTGAACGGGGGGACGGACAGACTGGAGCGTTTAAGATGACCCAAGATGGCTCCATGAGGGTCCCAGATGCTGCGGGATGGCCTTTAGGATGGCTCAAGACACTAAAAGATGGCTCAATCTAGCTTCTGACATACCTCCATGATGCCACGAGACATCCCAAGAGGGGTCCAAGCGCCCTCCGAGCCTTCCACGATATCCCCCAAGGCCAACACCCTGACAACACCGGAGGAAAACCATAGTTTTCATTTTGTTTGTTTGAATTCTCGGCTTTTCGCTCCCGATGTGCCTCTGAGGTCGCACGCTGGCCCAAATATGACCCAAGAGAGCCCCGAGAGCGGCTGAGGAGGGCCTCAAGAGAGCTCCAAGACCGCCAAAGAGGCTCCCAAGAGCGTCGCAAGATCACTCCAAGAGGCAACTGTAACCGGCCTCCCAAGGGGGGATCCGAATTGACACCGCCATCTTTTTTTCAGCCGTGGCCCCCAAGATGGCCCCCAAAGGCCCCTGAAGGCCGCCACGAGGGCCATTAGAGAGCCCACAGAGGGCCCCAAGAGACCTCTTCCTCCTCCTCCTTCTGCTCCTCCTCGATCCTCGATGCTAGATCCTCCTCCTCCTCGTCCAGAGCGCGCTCCTTGAGGTTTTGGAGTCGAGCCGCACGGCGTAGCCCACGTTGCGCCCCGTCTGCTCTCCGCGCTCCTCTCCAGGTGTGCGGGCGAAGCATCATCGCAGCAGGAGCGGGTGACTTGAGAAAGCAGGCGTACGTGCTCGACCACGGGACCGACGCTCGAAGATCGAGGCGTTGAAGCTTGACGGTCGATGTTCTTGGATGCTTGTGGTTTTGTTGTGGAGCTCCAGAGACCTTGAACGGCTTGCGGGGACCGCCAGAACCCCCCAGGGACCTCCAGAGACTACGTGGTCGACCACGGACCCCTTGCTGCCCATCGGCCTTTGGCGGTCTTCTGCGCGAGAGAGCTGGGTGGTTGCGTTCAACAAGGGGTCCATGATCGAGCACCTGCGCGAGGGTGACGCATGGGAAGACATGATGCAACAACCATGCGGCTATTACACAATCCGAGCCTGACTGGGTAGCAGGTTAATCAGCTAACCGCAGGGCGAATGATGTAGCACGAATTCTCGAGCAGGAAACTGCAGACTGAAGGCTGGAGGGGCTCTCCTGGACCTAACGTGTAGATTTTACGTGCCCTGATGACTCAACTCTTAAGTTCATGGGATAAGATTCGCCACCGCGTGCCCCAAGGCTCATATAGTTGTGAGTACGGAGTGCTAGAGCATTGCCGACCCACTTGGTGCCAAGTCGAAATCGGGCTTGGTTCATTGATACGTTCATCGTTCCACAAATGACTGTTTATGCAGGGATAACTCGTTCGCGTAGCTAGGATAGCTTCACCATGGTTCTCTACAGTCCAACATCACTGAGCCGCCGCCGCGTAAGCCAAAGCCAGTCCCAACCCTGAGCTCCACTTCGATGAAACCCGTTGGCAAAATAGCATTGAAGCAACCGTCGTCGAAACCACACCCATTTGATTGAAGGCTACCGTCGCTTATGTAAGTCTCAGTGTCTCCATATTGTCCGAAGCTGGCAGAATAATGCTCGAAGCGTTGTGTTGGTGGTTGTCGCGATGGGTTTCTGCATCATCATTGACGTCGCGGTGCGTATATCCGGGAAGTAACACCAAGCATACTTTCCATGGTGTTCTCCAAGCGCTGTCTTCTCAACAACCCTCACCCCCCCTAAATAAGGGGCTCATACGTCGCCGCGCCGTTTGTTCTCGATGCGCCCAAATGGACGACGCCGACACTACGACAAACCCGCGGCAAGCCGTGGGACCCGCGCACAAGTAGACAACGCCGGCGCCGCGGCAAACCCCACGGCGAACCCACCGCGCCCGAGGCGGCGTTTGCCCTGGTGCCCGCGGCGCGCTCCCCAAGACGCAAGGCCGCGCGTCGGAACAAACATGTGGATTCTAAACAACTCTGTGGCTTGCCCGGGTTTTCGCGCGGTGCCCGATCGTGCGCGCCTCGTGCGCTGGCTGCGCTCTCCAAAGGTTTTCGCCCGGTGCCCGCCTCTTGCTCGCTCCGTGCGCTGGCTGGGCTCCCTGGGTTTAGCCCAGTGCCCGCATCGGTTCTCTCTCTTCTACGGGGGAATCAACTTTATCCCCCCCCCGGAGGCTGGGTGAACGGCTTACCTTCGCGTACGGGTTTACTACAATTGTTGAGAACGTCCCGGTCTCAGCCCCGACCTCATTCCTGTCACCGCGGCTTAGCCCAGTGCCCGCATGGGTTCTGTTTATTCCACGGGGGAATCGACTGTATCCTCTGCAGGAGGCTGGGTTAACGACTTACCTTCGCATCCAGATTTATCATACTTGTTGAGAGCGACCGCCCATCCTACATGTGAGCTCCTGTCATCCTCGCTGGTCTCGGTCTCCCCCTCCTCACTCCTCCCGAATCAGCCAATTTTGAAATATCGCTGCGATCTTACAAATCAATGTTCAATGGATTCGTGTGAAATAGCAACATGTGGACCACACGCGCGCGCAACCTCTCCCCTGTAAAATCCGTGGGCCCTCTCTCGCGGCCAAACCGAACGTTCCCTCAGCATTCCGAGCCTCCTGGGTGCCCTAGCCGGGCCAAGACACGAGCCCAAACCAATCAGGCGGACGCCTAACAGGGCCCCACGAGAGCCAGAAGCGGTTCCTGACATCCCTGAGACGGTTTAAACATTCCCAAAGAAGACGTGCAGGAGGCCCCCAGATACCACAGAACAATGTATTGCCTTTTCTTTTGTTGCGTGATTTCGGTATACCCGCCTCTTCGGTTCCTGGTGTCCGACACCACCTAAGGGCCCCCAAGACCGCCCCAAGACGGCTTCTTGAGAGCCCCAAAGAGCACCCTCAGACTGCCCAACGAATTTCAAAACTGCCCTAAGAGAGTTCCCATACGGCCTGGATTGGCCCCGAGACGCCTCCCAAATCACTTCCAGAGCGCCCGAACGGCTTCACAAGAGCAAGAGAACTCCCAGGAGGCTCCCGAAGCGCACAAATCGCTGATTGTCCTGTGGTTTTCGTGTGATAGAAAAAAATCTCGAGATCGCCCCAAGACAGCGCATGGAGAGCCCCGACGAGCATCAGACCGCCCACCAAGCCCAAAGACAGCCCCAAGAGAGCCCCCAGACGGCCCAAGTTGGCCCCGAGACGCCTCCCAGAGCACTTCCAGAACGTCCGAACGTTTCACAAGAGCCCCCAGCGGACCCTGAACCCGGGGACATCCCCAAGACGACAAAGAAAGTATCCCCAGGAAAGTCCCCCGAACACGCGCAGATCGAATATTTCCCCAAACTGGTTTTGCATGATTTCGGGCGTCTGGGGCCGCCCCACAGGTCCCCCGAATCGCACCAAGACGGCTTCAACAGAGCCTCAAAGAGCCCTCAGACCGCCCAACAGAGCCAGGACGGTCCCAGGAGAGCCACCAAGCGGGCCAAGTTCGCCCCGAGACGCCTCCCAGTGCGCCCAACCGGCTTCACGAGAGCCCCGAGCGGCCCCAGAACTCCAGGAGCTGCGCAAGACTGCCAAATCAGCACCCCCAAGAGGCCTCCGAAGCACGAACATCCGCCGACCCCTGCCTACGAGAGAGGTGACAAGGCGTGTGAGACATCTGGCCGTCTCCTTCTCCTTTGCCCAGTCTCGTGCAAAAGGGGCTTCCCCTACGACCTCCGAAACACGAAAATCCGCCGACCCCTGCCTACGAGAGAGGTGACAAGGCGTGTGAGACATGTGGCCGTCTCCTTCTCCTCTGCCCACGTCTCGTGTAACAGGGGCTTCCCACCCGCCTCCTTCTCCTCTGCCCACGTCTCGTGTAAAAAGGGCCTCCCGTACGACCTCGCCAGCGCGCCTCCGGGGCCCCGGAGGCCTCGAAGTCCGCCCTCTCCGCCGCCTCCAAGATGTCCTGGCTGCCTTCTATAAGATGGCCCAGGAGCAGCCCCAACACGCTCACGATGCCTCAAGAACAACCATGATGACCTCAAGACTGCCCAAGACGGCTCCAACAGACCACAAGAGAACCTCAAGAGGGGAGCACCATTCATTCACCGTAGATTCTTGGCAACTTCTCGTGTTCTCGCCTTTCCAGCCTTCTGAAAGCCGAAAGGCAGCCCGAGAGGTTCTCCAGACTGGCCTAAGACTGCCCAGGAGGCCCCCAAAAGGGCCCAGAGAAGGCCGAAGAGAGTCCCAAGACGGCCACGCCCCAAGAGGCCGCCAGGAGGGTCGTAAGAGGGGCCCAAGAGGCAGAACTCGAAGGGTTCCCAGCATCTCCCTCGCGGATGACCCCGAAGTCCCCGAACACGCCCCCAAGAAGCCCCCAGGACCCCCCGAAGCGGCCTCAAGAGAGCCCCAAGAGGCCCCCAGGAGCTCTCAAAAAGCTTCCAAGAGCACCACCAAAACCTCCAAGAGGCCCCAAGAAACCCCGCATCAGACGACAGTTCGCTTGCGAACCCCCCGTCGCGAGTTTTCCCTTCTGGGGGCCGGCGCCATGGCGTAAGCCTCTTGAAGGATTGAAGGTTCACTATTTCGGGATGTTGCGCATTCTCGGACACCTGCTTCTTCAACCTTTCGGGCGTCCCAGACCGCCCGCCCAACAGGCCGCCGATATCACCCCAACACGCGCCACAAGAGCCCCGAGATGGCCCTGAAGAGCCCCAAGACGTCCCCAAAGGAGCCGCAAAAGAGCTCGAGATTGGGCCTAGGCGATTTCCAAACCACTCCAAAGCGTGACCTAGTCGCTGAAGAAACCCACATTTGGCATCAACTCCCCAACGGCAATGTCCGCTCACGCCAAGCTGCCGCAATCGTTGCCCCCCCGACGCGCGCCGCATTAGGTCGTTTTGGAACTCCGTAAGCTCATTACGCCCCTCGTTACTCTGATAATGCCCACCATCGTGAAGGGACACATGACCAGTACTGAGGCGAAGCGAAGCGAGCCCTCCAACTTCTTACATACATACATACGTACGTACATACATACATACATACATACATACAAACATGCATACATACATACATACATACATACATACATACATACATACATACATACATACATACATACACACACCTCTCTCTCTCTCGCTGTCTTGCCTTCTCAACTGCGCCCTCCTGGCCCAACTTGCCGCGAGTCTGGCTAAAAGCACACGGAATATGGGCCTGGATTGCTCCAACTCGTTTTTGAAAATTTTCCATAGTGGGCCCCATGAGTGCCGTGCTGTGCTCCAAGCTCACCTTAGACCTTTACCCTGGAGACGTGCTCTGTCGCGGGTATTCACTGCCTGTCTGTCTGGCCCCGCCCCACCCCGCCCTGCAGTGGAGGCCCGACCACAAGAAACCTTCCACAAAAAACCCAACCCTGCTACCACAGGACGTCCATGGATTTTTGGCGTGGGAACGTCACGCTTTCCGTGGCAACACCCTCGAAACCCAAGAAAACCCAGGGCACCCTGGAGGCAAGCAGGGTGTTTCTTGGCATGGGCCTCCACTGTATCCCATACCTTCGTGGGCCAGGCAACCTCTCTGCCAAGCCCCTGCTCCACCTCCGCTGCACCGCCTTCGCCACCCACCCCTGCCACCCACCATGACGTCTCCTCCTCCTCCTCCCTCCCTCCTCCTCCTCCTCCTCTTCCTCCTCCTCCTCCTCCTCTTCCTCCTCCTCCTCCTCCTCCCTCCTCCCTCCTCCTCCTCCTCCTCCTCCTCCTCTTCCTCCTCCTTCTCCTCCATTTCATCGACATGCTTCCGCCCACCAGGACGCTCCTCGGCCACCCGCTCGGCGACGGAGACTGCGGCTATGCGGCGGGGCTGGGTGCAGACGACGGCAACCTCACCGCCTCGGCGCGGTCTGTCAGCACGTGCTGGCGGGCAGAGCGTGGTCCACGGTCGGCGCTGAGCTGAGCTCCCGCGGAAGGCTCGGCACGAAAGAAAAGGTGCCGTTGGGATCGGATCCTGGGCCCTAGGGCGTTCCCCCAAACCGTAACTTTGCAGACCCGGGGCCCTTCCCCCAGGAGCCCGCGAAGTCCCCATAGTAACACATCAGAGCTGCGTGACATGCAAGCGTTCTACGGGGAGTGGCACACTCATCGGAAAACGCATGCACAATCGCACAATGCAGAGGTACGGGTAAATGAGGACGTACACATGCACATGCGCGTGCACACACTACGAGCAGCCTTGATGGACACCTACTGGCAAGGCGATACCTTATTTGCGGCGTCGGGCGCCGTCGAGACGCGGCAGATACGGCCCATGTCATGAATACCAAACCACACTAATTATGAGAGACATCGGGGCACACCATCGAATCAACAAAGACGTCCTACAACCCGACTCCACCAAAACCCCAGCGTGTGCCGTGCGGGCCCATGTGAAGCCAAACCCGCCCAAACCGACTCCAGGCTGCACAAGGTCAGGAACCGATCGCGCCGGCGCCGCTGGCTCCTGGCAGTCTGCGCTGTGCGGCGACGAAGAGGGAGGAAAGGAACGAGAAGCAAGCAGACAGCGGCAAACGCGCAGGCGGGAGGCCACGGCGCGCGGGACGAAGCAGGCGGGCGGGCAGGCAGGAAGGGACTCGGGACTCAGGACTCACACATCCGCGAAACGATCCCAGGCAGGGCTCAGTGCCGGGGGTGTGCACTACGCTGAAGACGCCCTGCAGACCACAAAGCTCACACGTGTGGGCGGAAGTAAAAACTCCAGCGGTGGGCTCTGGACGCTGGACGTCGTGCCTGAAGACTCTGGAGGTCCCCGTCGCATGGAGGAGGGGAGGCAACCTCTTCCTCCTGGCGTTGGCCGATGTTGGCCCTGGGGCCTCTGTCGGCTTGGAGCAAGGATCAACCGTCTTGGCATTCCAATAGGCCTACCGCGAAACGCTCTCAGAACACAATAAAATAATGAGACCGTGTTTTTCCAGCGGAGAAGATCTGCTACTATCTGACAGGGTTACAACACACAGCTGGGACGACGTGAGATCGTTAGAATCACACGTCCAAGGCATTCTGCAAAGCATTGAAGAAAGGGATGGGAGAACATTGTTCGAAAGGGCGGGTGCCTTTTGACGCTTGAGCCCGAGCGGTTGCGATGAGCAACGCGGGGGGCCAAGCCTGGACACGACACCCGAAAAACCTTTCTCATCATTCCCGTGCACGCACTAACATAATGAGACCGTGTTTTCCAGCGGAGAAGATCTGCTACTATCTGACAGGGTTACAACACACAGCTGGGACGACGTGAGATCGTTAGAATCACACGTCCAAGGCATTCCAAACATCCCGAATTGAAAAGGGTTCACAGGGGCGAAGGAGGGGAAGAGAGGAGGGGAAAAGCGAAAGCACTTAAGGCCAGAGCCTTATTGGGCCCCAGTGCGTACGGGGCCGCCCGAGTTGTACGAGCAGGAGGCGTGCTTTTTAGCAGCGAGAGACTTACCTAGAGCAGTGGCCAGGCGAGAGGGGTAAGGCTGGGCAATAGAGGTCCACAACACATTCTGGTCATTGCGCCCACTCAGCTCGATATGACGGCGGAGAGTGCGAGAGCACATACCAGCTTTTCCAGTGCACACTCTGTCCAGGGGGCAGGTGTCTTCAGGGTCCATGTTGCCGCAAACCAGCCATGTCCTTTTTCGCCACGGCGTTCCCCATTGACAGAAATCTGTAAGTCGCCATTCAGCGCGTGCCTGACTGCACAGAGCAAGTATCTCTGGGATGAACCACAGGCGGGACGTTGACGGATTTTCAAGTATCCAAGGAATCTTATAACGATTGAGATGTCTAAGAATGCGAAGTACAGCCCGAATTATCCTGTTACCAGTCTCGAGTGAGGCTCGGTCACGATCGGTAGCGTCAGTAAGGTCGGTCCCCCACGGTTGGGTGCGTGAACGTATCTGAAAGGTCCTATCCCGAGCGATAGTCAGCGAGGTGCACGGGAGGGCAATCATGGCGGCGAAGACCTTGCCGTCACGGATGTCCGAGAGCAGCAGCCTGAGCACAACCGGGTCGGTGATGTCATGGTTGGGACCGTGGATGATGTCCCAGGCCTTGGCGGAGAACCCCAGTTGCATCACCGCTCGAGCAACCTTGCCCGAGCCGGAGAACAGGTCGGCCATGTAGGTGCCATCCCTGGCTAGCCGCGGACGGGCGGTGGCTTTGGGGCACGCTCGGGCGACCAGAGGAACTCGACGAGCTGATCCTCGCACAGGCGCATGTGCGCCTGTATGTCGGCAGGAAGCTCGTTCCAGAAGCTTCCGAGGCGGGCGCTCTTCTCGTAGCGAACGAGGCTCTTCCAGCTCTTCCACCTTCCGCGCTTCTGACACTCCTCCTGGCTGCGGTCCGGCTTGAGGCGATCTATCGACGGCCCTGAGTGTCTCATCTGGTAGGGTACAAGGTGCGGCATGCCCAGCATCTTGGCCACAGTCTTGAACTCCGCCAAGAAGGTGAGATAGTCGAAGGACCACAGCCGGCCGCCCTTTGTCCTTCAAGGCCTGGAGGAAGTCGTGCACCCACGGCAGCATGTAGGCTGAGTCGATGATCAGCGAGTCGTCCGCATCCCCCGTCTTGCTCCTTTTCTCCCCCTCCGAAGGATGCAAAAGGAGGCTCCAGTACTGCGACACAGGCGAGGCTGGAGCCACCAGGTTGTCCGAGGTAAGGTTGAGGAGCTCCGAGGGCCTGAGGTAACAGCTGACTCCGATCATCACGGCGAGCCCCATGGCCAGCATGCCCCGCCTTGCGAACTCCACCGCGATGTTACACCAGACCGGCAGGGGAGCGGGCTTGCGGGAGCGCCCTGGAGTCAGGCGCCTCCATCCCTTCAGGCAACGCCAGGCTCTTGGCATCTTGCTGATACCAACTCTCGAGAACTCGGGTGAGCGGGCCATCACTGCGGCGAGGAGCTTCTCGCCCCTGAACGCCTGCTCGCCCCGGAAGAACATGTGGTTCATGTGCTCTACCAGGGCGGCGTCGATGAGCGCGGGCGTGGTGGTGCGCAGCTGCCGCAGGTAGGCAAAGTCCACGAACCCCTGCAGCTCCATGACGTACTGGCGCTGCGTGCGCACCGAGACAGCCATCTCCTCCAGCACCGACGACTGCGGCGGCAGGGTCTCGGCTAGTTGCAGGTACCTGCGCGCGCGCCGATCGGCGCGCAGGGTGCGGACCCGCTGCTGAGATGACCTGCCGTCGGCTCCCCTCTCCATCTCGTCGGCCGTAGTAGTGCCATCGCTGTCCGCGTCGGCGGCCGCGGCGGTGGCAGCGGCCGTGACTGCTGCTGTAGCCCACGCGGGCCCCTTGGCCGCTAGCGTCTCCAGAGACCCTTTGGCCAGGGGCACCTCCCCAGCTTCCAGCTTCGAGCGAATCTCCGGTCGCGGGAGGGTACGTGTCCTCGATGGCCCCGGGGTCGCTGAAGGCGGACAGGAAGTCGCCGTCGGATGCGTACTGGTCGTCGTGCGCCGGCTCTTCTGGCCCGCGATGTTGTGACTCGGCGCCTCCAGGGTGCGGGTCCGCTTCATGGCAGTCGTGGAATGCGGTGCAGGCGAAAGGATCAGGGGTGTCGAGCGATCCTGGATCTTGAGCCACGACGTCGTCGGATCGAGGTAGATCCGCAGGCTGAGGCAGGACGTCACCGGGTCCGTGTCCATCAGCCACCAGGCGAGTGAGATCCTTCGTGGAGTCGTAGTTGGGGTCGTAGATACGGGACCCAGCGTCGCTACTATTGAGCTCTGAGGGATGCCACCTGAACCCAAATCGAACCCCTCGGGCCAGAGCGTAGGCCGCGATTCGTCTGATCTGCACCAAGAGCCCGAAGCTGCGGGCCCGAAATCTTTCACAAGCTAATATCACCGACATATTATCTCCCAATAACAATACTCTGCAGAATCCACCTGGAACACAATTACAAACTCTTGCGACAGCTTTGACCAGGACGCGGGCCTCAAGAATCAGGATATCCTCGGAGTAGGCCCACTTGCCATGCAGAATCAAGCGCCACCGATCCCCGTGGAGGAGGGCCCCAGGAATCTCAGGGAAGTCCTTACGCATCTCCCAGGCACCCGCCTCCCGAACGTCCGAGGGGTCACGCTCCTTCTCGTCATCGACCTGCCATCGAGCGGTGGTGGGTGAGTAGACAAACCCCGCGGCAGCGAGGGCACTGGCCCGAGCCGGCAACCCTCCGAGACGACGGAAACGAGATCGTTCGAGGATCCTGCCTTGCTTTTTCACCGTCGACACTCCGAACTCGGAGCTGGCAATCCCCCAGCCGTACGGGCTGGCGTCCACGGACAGTACCTGCGCGAGCCACGGCCGATCCCACTCGGAGCGAAGGAGCGGCATCAGCCCGAGGAAACACTCGAGCTCCTGCCGTGCGGAGTCCCACACGTCGCTCTTGGCCCAGTACCGCTCGCGGATGAAGGTGTAGACGGTGTGCCACGCGGACAGGGTTTCCCGGCACATCAAGCCGACGAATGTACAGTGGCCAAGCAAAACTTCGAGCTCTCGCCCTGCCAGGCGACGCAGGGAGAGGGCCCACCGGAGGGCCAGTCTGACCTTCCAGTAGCGCCGGTGGTTGACGAGGGTCTGGTGCTTCTGGCCATCGAGCGTCACTCCCAGCGCCTCGGCGGTGTCGGAGTCCACCGAGATGTCATGCATGATGAGGCCCGCGGCGTCGAAGGCCGCGATGGTGTCCGCCAGAGCCCCCTTGACGTATAGGAGGCGTCGAGCGACAAGAGCCCCACATTGTCGACGTAGACGTAGTGCCAGGAGGAGGTCGGGGACAGCACGATAGGGGGCCCCCGATCGGTAGCCACACGGCTCGACGCGACCGCGGGGGCCCGTTCCACCAGGCCGAGGTTGGCCACCTGGGCGAAGTAGAGCGACCACGTCCAGCCCATGGGCAGCGCGAGGGCGCAAGGCCAGAGGTAGTCGTCGGCGCGCACAGGCACCCCCTCCACCACCTGCCCGACGATGCCGAACTCCTTGGCCAGGCCGCCTGGGTAGCAGAAGTACTTGGAGAGGTGGTTGCCGAACATCATGCGGTGAAAACAGTCCTTCACGTCAACTTTGCCCAGGAAGATGGGTAACGTGCCGGTCTGCTCCGTGTCGCACTCGATACGGCCCAGCCCCTCAGTAGACAACAGCTCCACCCCAGGAGGGGTCACGAAACGTTGATTAGAGCGACGGCAGTCGAGCACCATCCTCATGGAGGCACGCTCCTTCTTCCACACGAAGAAAACACCTACGAACTCCTTGGGATCGCGGGTGAAGCCCACCAAGCCTTTCCGCTTCAGGTCCTTCACGAAGGAGTATCGGCGGCGGCTATTGGCGAGCAGGGGGTCGGTGTAGGTCTTGATTTCGCCATTCGTCTCACGGTCAAGCTGGGCCTCAGCATCAGTCCTGATCATCTGCTCCTCTGCCTCTACCAGATACTCGAGGGCGCGCCCCGTGACCAGGGTTCCCACAGCCGGGGCCGTCGAGACGCCACAAGGAAGATAAACCGCGCCCCGTTGGTAGGGTGCCAGGTTAGTGTAGGCCGTCTCGGTGTCGTAGACCCCGCGGCCTCGAAGTAGCCCCTGAAAGGCCTCCTTCGGAGAGAGGTCGGAGGGTGGATCCATGTAGATCTGGACCCCCTGGGCGATTCGCACCAGCACCTCCTGTTGAAGTCGAAAACGGTATGGATGGACGTCACCTTGAGCACGACGGGCGGCCTCGCGATGTCCAGCGCCCCACAACCAATTAAAAGAAAAAGAAAAAAAAGATAAAAAAAAAAAAGAAAAAAAAAAAAGAAAAAAAAAAAGAAAGGGAAACGAACAAAAAAAAAATAAAAAAAATAAAAAAAAAAAAAAAAAAGAAAAAAAAAAAAAAAAAAAAAAAAAAAAAAAAAAAGAGAAAACAAAGAAAAAATAAATAAGCGAACGTGCCACCACTGCAGCCAGTCCAACTCACGAACGCCCAAACCGGCGTTGGGCACGCCCCTGAAGGTGGATCCAGAAGTCCGCGACGAGGCTGGGGTCGTCGGGCAACGGGAAGATCTCAGCGGATCCACGCGCAAGCCCAGGAAGGCGAACGGCGGAGGTTGGAATCTCTAGTCGGGCGACGGGGAGGGGGGAGGGGAGGTCACAAGGAAATGAACGTGTGAGGGTCGATAGAAGAGAAAAGTCACTCATGTGGTTCGTCCGCCCTACTGCGGGCATGACGCTCGCCTTTGCTCCGCGGGGGGAATAGTGGTCGGGGGGCGGGGTGGGGCGGCAGCCGGGCTGGCCAAGGGAGGTTTAAATCAGGCCGGCCCGGTCCTTTGGAGGGCTGGCCCGCCGCGGCGGCGACAGGTGCTTTGCGTCCAGCGGCGGGAAGACCGCCAGCCGCGACGGCGTCGGCAGCGATCGGAAGGTTGCGGGCTCGGACCCGCATGGACTCGGCCTCGGCCTCGTCCTTGGCCTTCTTGGCCACGTAGTGCTTCAGCTCGGGCGCGACCATGTCCACTGCAGAACCCACGCCGGAGTAGAGCCTCGCGTTGGCCCACTGCGGTCGGGAAGGGTCGCCCGAGTAAGCGTCCACGATACTCTGGATGCGGCGCGCTATGATCTCGAAGCTGACCAGCGACGGCATGTTGAGCTGGTCGTAGGTCCCTCCCACGTAGATGACCTCGCAGAGGACGGAGAGCTCGTGCATGACACGCTCGCCCGGCCCCAGGTTCTTCGAGCGGGACCAGAGGTCGAGCCACATCCTGATGTTGCCTCCGTGCCGATCAGAATGCCTGAGAATATACATCAAGCTAGACGGCCCCTCCACAGGGCTGTCGGTCCACACCGTGGGGTAGCTCTCCATGACCACGTTACGCCACGACTTGAATCGGACGTTCATGGCGTCAGTGTCCACCCACAGGGTGCGAACGTCACCCGGCTCGGTGGCATCCACGGGGGCGGTCGGCTTGGCCGCCTCGCCGTGAGAGGGCGAGTGGCTCGGCACGATCCCGACACGCCGCCCGAAGTCCGTGGGCGTGCCGTCGGCGTCGCGGATCGCCACCTCGTAGGCCGAGGTCTTCATGGACGCGTAGTCGCCCACTTCCGCCTCGGGAACGCTCTGCACCGGCACCGTCACGCCGTTGATGTCGGCGACGCCGCGGTCACCCAGCCTGATCATGACGGATGCGTGCGGCACAGGGGTACCCAACTCCCAGACAAGACCAGGCTCGCTCACGAGCCAGCGATGTCGCTCGCCGTCGGCGGCCAGCACGTCGCCGCCCGCATCCTCAGCGCCGCCACGGGACTCGGCGGCCACAGCGCCCGCATCGGCGACAGGTGGGTTGCCTTCCTTGCCGGCGCGCCTCACCTGCTTGCCCTGGAGGCGGTGGCGAAGGAGTGGGTGCTGGCGGCCGTCCTCCGACAAGAAGTAGGTCGGGTCCGACGGCACGCAGCGGTCAGGCTCGGACTCCCGCAAGGATGCCACCTCGGCGCGGGCCTCGGCGATGAGCCCGCGTAGCTCGTCGTCCGACGGGAACCTCGCAAACTGCACGACCTTGGCCCCGTCGTCTGGCAGAGACCTCGGCGGCTGACCCGCCGTCATGAGGTACACCTTGTCCCAGTCCTTCTCTTCCTCCACGTACAGGTCGCCGCCGCCCGTGTACACGATCCACGATCCCTCGTGACACGGCCACACGATGACGCGCTCGTGCCTGAACCCAGGGTCAGTGACGAACGACACGAGCAGCTGCGTCCCCGGCACCCAGTCTTGCTCCATTGTGGATCACACGGCGATGCGTCGAGTCGGGCCGTGCAGCACGGCGACAGCAATACAGCACGAAGATGACCTCGAAAATCCCGAACCCCAGGCAGCCGGCGAGGGCGAGGTCGGGCGAGACCGCGAGGCCTCCCAGCCACGGCCACACCACCTCGATCGCCGCGGCTCCGTCGGGCGCGAGCCGCACCGAGGCCCCCAGCGGGGGCGGGGCAGGCGGCTCGGGCGCCGCCGACGACGGGCCGGTGCAGGAGCAGGTGCAGTCCCACGGCGGGGGCTCCCAGCACCAGTCGACGGCCGCCGCGCGGCCTGGGCCTGCCGGCGCGGAGCGGCCAGCAGCGGAGCCGGCCAGCCAGCCGGAGAGCGAGGGGGCTATCACGGCGACCCAAGCGAAAAGTGCTACCTGGGAAGGCGTGACGGCCATCGAGCGACAAACCCGTGCCTTTTGACGCTTGAGCCCGAGCGGTTGCGATGAGCAACGCGGGGGGCCAAGCCTGGACACGACACCCGAAAAACCTTTCTCATCATTCCCGTGCACGCACTAACATTCTAACACCAAAACAACGCTCTCACTTCACAAACTCGACGCACTCAAACAAGGTTGCGTCTGCCAGACGTGTTCCAAAAACACCTCGTGCAAACCACAGAAGGGGCTCCTAGAACGCTCCCTGGTGGGCCGTTGCCGTGGCCGTGGCCGTGGCCGTGGCCTTGGCCGTGGCCGTGGCTGTGGCCGTTGCCGTGGCCTTGGCCGTGGCCTCCAGGCAGGCCAGGGCGCTTCGCCCCTGCTTCTCGGCTAGGCCCTGCGCCGCGGCCGGCCTCGGCGGCGGCCTCGAGGATGAAGTTGGGACCTCGGCTCGGGCGCGCGCACCGTGGTGGGGAGGGGGGCGCCGTCGCCGCGGACACCGAGCGGTCCGCTTCGAACCCAGAGTCTGTACCGAAACGGAACGAAGGATTGCAAAAACGAAGGATTGCAAAAAAACGAAGGATTGCAAAAAAAAAAACGAAGGTTTTTTTTTTGCAATCCTTCGAGCCTGTACCGAAACGGAACGTGCGTCGGATCGGACCCCGTCGGCACGGAGGCGGAATCGGATCGGGTCGGCCGCACCAACATGCACGACAACCAACGCCGCACGAACATCGGGCCGCACCGGATCGCCCAAATATCGAGACCGAATCGGTTCGGGCCGGGCGAAAATCGGCATCGAAGTGATCGGGCCGACCTGCACCCCTGGGGGAGCGCCGTCGGTCCGGGCCACGGCAGGGTCCCGCCTCGAAGCCGCGGGCCCCCGGCTCCCGAGGCCACCTAGAACTCCGCGCCTCGCGCTCGGCGCCGCGCGAGGCGCACACCGCGATTGTCCTCGCGCCCCCGCGGGTGACCCAGACTTCTGGCGCCGCGTGTGCCGCCGGGGCTTGAGTCGCCGTCGTCGTCGTCGTCGTCGTCGTCGTCGTCGTCGTCGTCGTCGTCGCCGTCGTCGTCGTCGTCGCCGTCGCCGTCGCCGTCGCCGTCGCCGTCGCCGTCGTCGTCGTCGTCGTGGGGCGTCGTCGTCCGTCGTCGTCCCCGGAGGTCCCCGCAGGCTGCCCGCCTCACCTCTCGTGCGAGAGCCTCGCGCTGCGCGCGGCCTTCTAGGTGGGCCCCTCGGGGCCCGAAGCGGGGCCACCTGGAGGGTATACTCCGCCGTGTGAACGCCCGCGGCGCCGCGTCGAGGCCGGGGCGCGCCTGTCGCGGAAGGCGCCTCGAGCCAGCGCCCGACCTGCCCAGCCGCACCGCCGCGGGGGCCCAAGTCGGGCGTCGGCAGAGCTGGGTCTCGCGAGGCCTGGTGGTCAAGGATGTGTGCCGGGGGACGTCCCGCTACGGCACACCTGGTGTGGTGATCCCAGACCCCCGACGTAATGATTTTTTCACTACGTCGACCCCCAGAGGTCCCGACCCTTTCCCCATGACCGGCTTTGCATCCTGAGTCGTTTTTTGACGCTCCCGAGGCCCGGTGAGGGCCCCCAAAGGCCGAAAACTAGGAAAAACCTCCCGTCATGATTTTTTCATTACTCGAGGGGGTCTGGGATTCTGGCAGGTTGTGTGGGCCTCGGGGCCCAATCACTGACAGGCTCCCCTTGCCCGAGGTCCTGGCTATCTCCGAGTGGGGGCCCCGGGGTCGCCCGGCTTGGGACAGCTCGGCGGCGAGCGGCGGCGGGGAAAGGAGAAGGAGAAGGCCCGTTCCGAAGAAGGCGGGGCTCCTCGGAAGCCCTCCGGCCCTCCGAGAGGTTTTTTTTTTGTGTCCCGGGGGAAGGCTAACAAAAGCTTCCAGGAGGCCGGGGGGCTTCCAAGCCTTCTGAGAAGGCCCGTCCCTTCTCACTTCCACCCCAGGCTCTCCGCCGAAAGGAGGAGGAGGAGGAGGAGGAGGAGGAGGAGGAGGAGGAGGAGGCAGGAGGAGGAGGAGGAGGAGGCAGGAGGAGGAGGCAGGAGGAGGAGGAGGAGGAGGAGGAGGAGGAGGAGGAGGAGAGGAGGAGGAAGGAGGAGGAGAAGGAAGGAAGAGGGGGGGAGGACGCCCTTCTCGCTTCCCCCCCCGGGCTCGCCGCCGAAGAGAGTTTGGACTTGGGGGCGACGGCAGGCGTGCGGGGAGAGTGGGCCCTGGCGCCCGTCGCCGGCGGCCGAGCAGGCCCGAAGAGACACGAAGGCACACAGACAGAGCAGCCCGAGGGGGGAGGCCGGCCGATGGGGGAGACCTCGCCGGCCCAACGAGCCGACTGCGTGTTCCCAGACATGCGACGTCTTGATGTGAGACATCATGAAAAATGACGACCGGAGCCCTGGACCCCATCTTTCTGCGGCATTGTTCGACCCGCATGGAGCTGTGAGGGTCCCAGGGCCTGAAATTTGGCGAACACAGCCTGTGTGATCCCAAACATGCGACGTCCTGATTTTTTTTTGGACGGGGTCCCTGGAAGTCCCGACCCGTTCCCCAGGACCGCTTTTCCGTCCTGAGTCGTTTTTGGATGCTCCCGAGGTCGGGCGATGGCCCCCCCGAAGCCGAAAACCGTCCTGATTTTTTCTAAGACACGATCATGTGTGGGTTGGAATCTGCGGGCAGAGGTGCAGAGTACGGCCGGCCCTAAGGCAGACGACCGTCCTTCAAATCGGGGACGCACTGACCTGGGTCAATGCAAATCCGGGTCCGTCGGGCCTTGCAGGAACCTGCAGGATCCTGCACCGAAGCCCGGGCCAGTGCACACCTGGCTCTGCAGGATCCTGCAAGATCTGGCGCTCTGGCTGACCCCCGTTTGCACTGACCCCCGTCTCTTGAGCCCCGACCAAGAACATGGGACCCTCCGCCGGCCAAATTCAAGAACATTCGAGGGCACCCTCCCCAGGATGCACAAAAACACGTCCACCAAGCTCGAAGAACACTAGGGCACCTTCCCCGAACCGACCTCGACCTTGTGCCTGGTCCGAGCGTAGTTGTATACCACGAGCTCGCGGCCGTGGGGCTCGGGCGATGTTCAATGGGGGGGCAGTACACGGAAGGGACGGGGGAGAATCGTGTACCTTTCGTGCCCCTGCTGGGCCCCAAGGGGGCCCCTTTAGGGCACAAGCGCTGCACCTTTCTTCACCCCGCCGCGGAGGAGGGGGAGGAGGGGGAGGGGGAGGGGGAGGGGGAGGGGGAGAAGGAGGAGGAAGGAGGAGGAGGAGGAGGAGAGGAGTAGGAGGAGGAGGAGGAGAGAGGAGGAGGATGAGGGAGGAGGAGGAGGGGAGGAGAGCAGGAGAGGAGGAGGAGGAGTAGTAGGGGAGGAGGAGGAGGAGGAGAGGAGAAGGAGGAGGAGAAGAAGGAGGAGGAGAGGAGGAGGAAGGGGGGGAGGTAGGAGAGGAGAGGAGGAGGAGGAGGAGAGGGGAGGAGGAGGAGAGGAGGAGGAGGAGGAGGGAGGAGGAAGGAAGAGACGGAGAGGAGGAGGAGGGGGAGGAGGAGGAGAAGAGGAGGAGAGGACGAGGAGAGGAGGAGGAAAGGAGAAGGAGGAGGGAGGAGGAGGAGGCGGAGGAGGAGAGAAGGAGGATGAGAGACGGAGGAGGAGGAGAGGAGTGGGGGAGGAGGAGGAGGCGGAGGAGGAGGAGAAGGAGGAGGACGGAGGAGGAGGAGGAGAGGAGGAGGAGGAGGAGGAGGAGGATGAGACGGAGGAGGGCGGAGGAGGGGAGTGGGAGATGAGGAGGAGTAGTGCGGATGAGGAGGCGAGGAGGATGCATGAGGATGAGGAGTAGGAGGAGGAGGAGGAGGGTTCTGAGGCGGTGTTGTAGGAGAGGAGAAGTGCGTAGGATTGTGAGGAGGGTGAGGAGGATTAGGTAGGATGAGGAGGATGATGCATCAGTGTAGATGAGGAGGAGGAGGAGGAGGAGGAGGAGGAGGAAGAGGAGGAGGAGGAGGAGGGGGAGGAGGATAGGGAGGTGGAGTGGGAGAAGGAGGAGGAGGAGGAGGAGGAAGAAACGCTGCACCTGTCTTCACCCCGACACTTATCATCGCCCCCTCATTATACGCAACGCCCGAGGGGCGGCGCCTGGTGGATGCCTGGAGGAGAAGTGCCTCGGGCAAAGCCCGTCAAGGCCCAGTCGGAGAGGCCGAGTTCTGGGGCACGGGCTGCAGGACCCCCAGTTAAGCACCAGGAGCGCTCTCAGGAGGCCACAGGACGCAGCAACCATGGATTTCTCGAAAGGTTGCCGTTGCTCTTGCAAGCTCGGGCAACCAACAACTTCAGACGCCCCACTGGGTCCCGAATGTTGAAGACGGCCCAGGAGGCCTCCAAGAGGGCCCCAAGACGGTGCAAGACGGCCCGAGAGACCTCCAAGGCGGTCCACGAAGTTTGCAGACGGCCCAGTAAAGCTGCAAGACAGCCAACGATGGCCTCAAAATGGCCCAAGAAGCCCCTCTTCCTCCTCTTCCTCCTTCACTCCTCGTCCTCCCCTTCCTCGTCCTCCTCCGCTTCCTCCCCTTCCCCCTCTCCTCCTCCGTGGCCATGTTGGCTCAAAACACATGAGATCTGCAATGGAACGCGTGGATTCCGCTGATCCGTGGCAGCAGCCACCTTTCGGTCAGTCAGCCCTGACCCGAGCTGCGTGCTGGTCCGCCCAAGCGGCTGGCATCTTCCGTTCGCTCCGGTCCCTCGGACCATGGCGCCATGGCAAAAGAAGCTTTGGGACCAGCCATCCGCCATGGCAAGGGAAGCTTTGAGACCAACTTTTTTTTTTTTGTTTCGTGATCCGATCAGACAGACCTGCCTCGATTGGGGCCTATAGATCCCTGGAGGCCGAAGCTGGGGGGAACAGGCTTTCGGTCGGGACGGTACCCCGCCCGTCGGGGTTCGAGCTGTCGCAGTATGGCCCATGATGGGCCCCCCCTCCCTCGCAAGGAGGGCCGAATCTGCGCCCCCTCTTCTGCCGCCTGGTCCCAGGGCCTCCTGGGTCGGCCCAGGCCTCCTGCGCGCCGCCCCTGCCCCCGCCCGCTGCAGAGGGATGGGGCCGGCGGTGGACCAGGTGACGACGACGACGACGACGACGACGACGACGACGACGAGGACAACGACGACGACGACGACGACGACGACGACGACGACGACGACGACGACGACGAGGACGACGACGACGACGACGACGACGACGACGACGAGGACGACGACGACGACGACGACGACGACGACGACGACGACGACAACGCTGACGGGGCGACGAAGATGACGGGGGCGACGAAGACGGCCCCGGAGGGCGGCCAGCGATCATGGGCTCACGGGGTAACAGCCACCGCAGCTGCGGCAGCAGCAGAGCAATCGGAGGCAGCGGGAGGGGGGGAGGGGCGCGGGCGGGCCCGATCGTGCTTGCCCTCGCGGGGCGGGGGCGGGTGGCGGGCGGCACGCTGGGAGGGGGGCGTGGGGGACGACCCCGACCTCTTCCCTGCGGAGTCGCCCTCCCCTTGCATGCCGAATGAGGTCGAACCTTTCTCTGTTGTCGGCGCCCTCCTCCTCCTCCTCCTCCTCCTCCTCCGTCTCCTCCTCCTCCTCCTCGTCATCGTCGTCCTCCTCCTCCTCCTCCTCGTCATCGTCGTCCTCCTCCCCATCCCCCTCCTTCTCCTCTCCTCCTCCTCCTCCTCCTCCTCCTCCTCCACCACCTCCTCCTCCTCCCCATCCCCCTCCTTCTCCTCTCCTCCTCCCTCTCCTCCTCCTCCTCCTCCTCCTCCTCCTCCTTACTCTGGCGGCCGCGGAGGCCCCGGCACTGGGTCGTCTTGCCCGAGCCCGTCTCCCCCACCACGATGACCACCTGGCTGAGCTCCAGCGCCTGTCGCGCGGGGAAGGAAGGGGGAGTGTGGAAGGAGAGGGGAAGATGAGGGGCAGGGGGGGAGGAGTGAGGGAAGAGGAGGAAGAGGAGGGGGAGGAGGAGGAGGAGGGGGTTAGGGAGAATGAGGAGAATTAATGCGGTTAGGATAATGATGAAGATGCTGCTGCTGATGATGATGATGTTGATGATGAGGAGGATGAGGAAGACGAGGAGGAGGTGATGATGATGCTGATGATGAAGATGATACTGATGATGATGCTGCTGCTGATGATGATGATCATGATGATGAGGACGAGGAGGAGGAGGAGGAGGAGGAGGGAGGAAGGACGAAAGGGACGAGACAAACACTCAAAATATATCGAGGATGCCACAATAACCCTCCCATCCACCCGTTCCGCGATGTAGGAATTCTGACAATGAGCATTAGGGGAATCTCCGCCGAGAACCCCACTTGAACAGGAACCACCCTTAGTCCACGTGCTCCACGATCTTAAACATGAGGTGCTTCATGTGGAGGCAATATCAAGCGTCAACCTGATTTTGAGAAGGCGTCGCCCTCCATTCGTGTGGTCGTTGAACGACCTTTAAGTTGAGTGTGCGCGGCGCAAAAACGAAACCCGCATCTTGAAAAAGAGCGGCCCTCCATCTGGGTACGTAAGTGTTGGACTTGTTTAAGGCGACTTTCCGCGGCGCCAAAGCGATAACCATTTTGAAAATGGGCCGCCCTCCATTCGTGTAGCTATCGGGGATTTCATGTTTCAAGGACGTAAGCAGTATGTCTCACTCGCAGGAGGTGGGGAAGAGGAGAGGGGGGAGGACGGGACAATTGAAGGAGGAGGAGGAGGAGGAGGATGCGATTATGATCTGTTTTCTCGGGGAGTACGAAGAGTTCCGATAGGTTCTGGGGAGCTCCAGTGTGGTCTTTAGGTGAAAGGGTCTGTGTGTGCGTGTTTGTTGAGGAGGACGCGCCTCTCCTTCGACCTGCTCTACGTCGCGCCGCTGCGCGCGTGGCCGCGACACCAAAAACGTATGTGGAGGAGGATAACCATGATGTTGCTGATGATGATGGTGATGATGATGATGATTATGATGATGGTGATGATGATGATGATGATGATGATGATGGTGATGATGATGATGATGATGATGATGATGATGATGGTGATGCTGATTCCCCCCCCCACCCTCTCCACCTCAACGCTTCACCTGCCTCCAGCGACTTCAGCCTGGCCTGGCCGCCGCCGCCAAGCCAGCCAAGCCAGTAGAGGAAAAAGAACTATGCACATGCACCGATTCTGGCCAGGCCCATCCTGAGCCCATGGGGGGGGAAAAAAGGGGGTGGGGGTGAAAAGGTGGGAGGAGGGAGGAGGAAAAGGGGGGGGGGGGGGGGGGGGGGAAAGGAGGGGGGGGGAAAAAGGGGGAAAGGGGGGAAGGAAGGGGGGGGGGGGGGGGAAGGGGGGGGGAAAAAAAATTTGGGGGGGGGGGGGGGGGGGGGGGGGGAAGAAGGGAGGGGGGGGAAAAAAGGGTGCAGGAAGCGGGCATACGCCCTCCTACCTTGGCCAGGAAGGCACATGCACCGATCCTGGGTCAAAAATGGGCCTTGCCAGGATCGGTGCATGTGCATAGTTCTCTTCGCCCGAAGCCAGCCCCCTCCGCCGCCTGGGCGCGGGCCACTGCCCCAAGGGGCAGCCGCAGCAGAGCCGGCAGCCGCGCCAGCGCCGAGGGAGCGCCCGCCTGGGGGGCCGCTCCCTCGGCGGCGCGGAGCCGGAGCCGAAGTCGCCGAAGACGTCCGCCATGGGGTCCGATGATGCTGATGCTGCTGCTGCTGCTGATGATGATGGTGGTGGTGGTGATGATGATGATGATGATGATGATGATGATGATGATGATGATGATGATGATGATGATGATGATGATGATGATGATGATGATGATGATGATGATGATGATGATGGTGGTGGTGTGGTGGGTGTGGTGGTGGTGGTGGAGTGGTGGGTGGGTGGTGGTGGTGATGATGATGATGATGATGATGATGATGATGATGATGATGATGATGATGATGCTGATGATGATGATGATGATGATGATGATGATGATGATGATGATGATGATGATGATGATGATGATGATGATGATGATGATGATGATGATGATGATGATGATGATGATGATCGCCCGCATCTGCGGGCAGTTCGACGGCTATCACTGCGCTGGGGCACGCTGTGCTGCATCTCTGACATTGACAATCTATGCTGCTGGTCTATTGCGGTCGGGGGCTTTCGCTTGGCGTGTCGCGGCGGTGGCCCTGGCAACACGCTATGCCCTGCAAGCGGATAGCGTGTCGCTCCGCTCCGCTCCGCTCCGCTGGAGGCTAGGAAATGCTTGGGACGTTAACGATGGGAATGGGGACGTGGATATCGTGTCGCGCCGAAGCGTAGTGGGCCAGAACTAGCGGAGCGACACGCTAAACCAAAATCCCTGACTGTATCATGATTCCTGCCGGAGTAGGGGCGGCGATGTCGGAGGGGGCGCCGGGAAGGCGCGCCGGGAGAGCGCGGGGGAAGGCGCGCCGGGAGGTCACGCGGGGAAGGTGCGCGGGGAAGGCGCGCCAGTAATGCGCGCCGGGAGGGCGCGCCGGGAGGGCGCGCGAGAAGGGCGCGCTGGGAGGGCGCGCTGGGAGGGCGCGCCGGGAGGGCGCGCGGGGAGGGCGCGCGGGGAGGGCGCGCGGGGAACGCGTGCTGGGAGGGCGCACTGCCTGAAGAAACGCCTGTTCGTCGCTCCGCTGACGGGTGCAGGAGGCGAGGGCGCCAGCGGCAACTGCTGGAAAACACATAGGCGCTGGACAATGGGTGGTGATCCAGCCGCCCGCCAAAGCTTTCAATGATGATGCTGCTGATGATGATGAAGGTGACGATGATGATGCTGCTGCTGCTGATGATTCTGCGAGGCCATGGGGGATGGGGAGGATTATGGGCAAGGGAGAGAAGGACACTTAGGAGTACAGGGATGAGGATATGGCGGAGGGGGAGGCAGACGATGATGCTGCTGCTGATGATGTTGTTGATGATGACGATGATTATGCTGATGTTGATGCTGCTGCGGGTGATGCTGGTGGTGATGCTGCTGATGATGCTGCTGCTGATGATGATGATTATGATGATATTGATGATGCTGCTGCTGATGATGATGATGTGAGATCATGGGGACGGGGAGGATTATGGGAAGGGAGAAGAGGGCAATTAGGACTACAGCGATGAGGAGATGGCGGAGGGGGAGGCAGACGATGATGCTGCTGTTGCTGATGATGATGATGACGATGAGTACGCTGATGATGCTGATGTTGATGCTGCTGCTGATGATGCTGGTGATGATGATGATGATCATGGTGCTGATGATTATTATGATGCACCTGCTGCTGCTGCTGATGACGATCATGATTATGAGAAACCGTGGGGACGGGGAGGACTATGGGCAAGGGAGAGGAGGGCAATCAAGAGTACAGGGATGAGGAGATGACAGAGGGGGAGGCAGATGATGATGCTGCTGATGATGACGATGATTTTTGCTGTTAATGCTGCTGCTGATGCTGCTGCTGGTGATGATGATGCTGATGCTGATGATGATGGTGATGATGATGACGATCACCACCACGACGACGACGATGATGATGATGCTGATGCTGCTGATGCTGATGATGCTGATGCTGCTGCTGGTGATGATGCTGCTGATGGTGCTGGTGCTGTTGCTGATGATGGTGTTGTTGATGATGACGATGATGATGACGATTATGATTATGATGATGATGATGATGATGATGATGATACAGATGATGATTATGCTGCTGATTATGATGATGATGATTGTGATGATGATGATGATGATGATGATGATGATGATGATGACGATGACGATGACGACGACGATGACGATGACGATGACGATGATGATGATGATGATGATGATGATGATGATGATGATGATGATGATGACTATGATGATTATGATGATTATGATGATTATGATGAGGAGGGTAAGGGGAGTGGGGGCAGGGGAATCAAAACAGGATGACGAACGTGGAGTCGGGTGGGATGGAGGGGGAAGATGAGAAGGTCGATGGGCAGTGGGTGAGTGTACCGGTAATACTGATTTATCTCCACATTGGTAGCTATGCGGGCTGTACTGAAAAAGAGGAGGAGCGGAGCCTCCAAGCAGCGCGTGCACGAGGCCGTGCTACAGGGTGCACGTGCGGCAGACGGCCATGCGGTCTGCGTTGCGACTTAGGGGAAGAATATCCCAGCAACGTGTGCGCGCAATGCCCTGCTACAAAAGTTCCCCGCGCGCGGGGCAACTGCGGCGGGTCCCTGACGCGACGACATCCGCCCCGCTCTCCGACACCGCGTGCGCCGCTCGATCTCGAAGGATCTCCGCCCTCGGAGGTCCTCCGGGGCTGCTGGCCACATTGCTCGCATGGCCTCCGCGCACTGGGCTGCCTCCCGTGGGCCCGACACGGGGCCTCTCGGATGGCGCGCAGCCTTGGCGAACGCCCGCGCGAGCGCGTCGAGGCGGCGCGGGCCCGCCGAGCACAGCCGCGCCGCCACATCGAAGGAGGGACTTCTCCTAGGCGAGCGCAGCTCGCGGCCCAGGAGCGCGCCCCCGCCAGCATCGGAGCGGAGTGGGGGGGCGCGCGCCTGGCGCTAAGGGCGATCGGGGCGAGGCGCCCAGGTGGCGGCCGAGGCGCGGGCGGAGCCCCCCGGGCGAGCCGGACGCGCACGAGGGTCCGCCCCTGTCGCCCTCGCCTTCGTTCGTCCACGTCCCCGCCGTCGTGCCCGTGCTCGCTGTCATCCTTGCCCTCCTCCGCGTCCTTCTGCCCGTCCATGTCGTCGGTCGTCGTCGCCGCCGTCGCCGCCGACGCCGCCGCCGCCGTCGTCGTCGTCGTCGTCGTCGTCGTCGTCGTCGTCGTCGTCGTCGTCGTCGTCGTCTTCGTCGTCGTCGTGGTCGTGGA